TGTGGCATGTATATGTATGTGTACTCACACTCACACTCACACACACACACACACAAACAGAATACTATTCAGCCATAAAAAAGAATGAAATCTTGCCATTTGCAACAACATGGATGGACCTTGAGGGCATTATACTAAGTGGAATTAAATAAGTCAGGCAGAGAAAGACAAATACTGTATGATCTCACTTATATGTGGAATTTGGAGAACAAAAACGAAAAAAAACCCACCAAGCTCACAGATATAGAGAACAGATTAGTGGCTGCCAGAGGCAAAAAGTGGGGGGTGGACAAAATGGGTGAAAGGGGTCAAAAGTTACAAAGTTCCAGTTATAACACAAATAAGTCATGAGAATTTAATGTACATCACGCTAACTACAGTTAATAATACTGTATTGTATATTTGAAAGTTGCTAAGAGAATAAATCTTAAAAGTGATCACAAGAAAAAAACATTTTTTTGTACTTAGGTACGATGACAGATGTTAACTAGAACTACTGTGGTGATCATTTCGCAATACATAGAAATACCAAATCATGTTGTCCACCTGAAACTAATATAATGTTATATGTCAATTACATCTCAATTGTTTTAAAAAAGCTTTTTTAGAATTCGAGCTCCTACAGATAGCTTATCAAACCTCCCTTTGAAAATTGCTGTATTATAACTATCAAAACAATTTGTGTGATTAAATCATCTGTATATATAACTTTCATTTTGTCCCAACAGCCCTTTAACTATAGCTCACACATACAGTCAATTCTCTGGACCCAAGTTATCTACTTGGAAAATGACAGATTCATGTCTGATTCAACCCCAATCTCCCGTAATGACAACCAAGTTATAATATGCATTATACTAACCTGGGTTTCGGGATATGAAAATATGAAAAACATTTACAAAACAGTATTTAGTTCTAATAACAAAGATAAAACAATTCAAAAACTCACCCTGAAGAGAAGACTTTTAGCTCCCTAACTAGACACGCACTTAACCAAATTAAGGTAAATGATTTCATGTGGCATGATGATAACTCATATAAGCAAGCTTTGAGTAGAATATAATTTTTCAGCAAACTTACAAAATATAGCACCAAACTCAACCAAATCAATGACATTGCTATATACTAATGATAGAAAGCTAGAACAGGCAAAGTAAAAAGTGATTTCACCAAGTACCTAAATATTTGAGAATTAATGTAACTCAGGACATCAATTCTAAGAAAATTTTATACCCTACAATTCTAAGTCAGTAAGAATTCATTCACTCCTTTAATTCTTTTAAGTTATATTTTTCACACTAAAAATTCATTTTTAAAAATTTAGGGACAATAACACATAAAATCTCAACCTGTTAACATAAAAGCTATTTTTACTTCAGAGCATTTACTAACACTTTTTTATCACATACATTTCACATAACTGTAATAATAGTACAAAATTTTACCTATTTGTTTCACTAACTATATAAAACATTAACCACGTTTCTATATAGACATTTTAGAAAAAATAATTTTTGACAACACAGTATTAACCTATAATAATTTACCTAACCCACTACTGCTGGTGGTTATTTACGTTATTTCCCATTTGTCACTCTCACAGTCAATCCCGTCAAACATTTTTCATGCATTTTTTTCTCCTCCTTATTTGGGTTATGTTATTATGAAAAAGTCCCACAAACAGGTCTACTGGGTCAAAATATACATTTTGAGGACTTTGATTTACATTAGTGATTTCTGAAAGTATTATACTAATTAAAAATGCTATCAGCATCAGTACACCATGAGGTTCACAAGAACCTCACCATCTCCAAGTACCTTTCTGAATTCTTGCTTATTTACAAAGATATAAAATGTTCTTAGTTTTCATTTGTATTTGTTGATTACTTGGGAGACTGAACATTTCCCTTTGTTTTTGAATTTCTTCTTATGAGAACTTTAAGTTCACATCAGTATTTCATTTATCCACCAGGATCTTGAGATTTCTCATAAAATTTAGTAAATTATTTATTTCTTATAAATATTAATTTTTGTTACTTGACTCAAATATTTTTCCTTATCTGTTTTCTTTTTTCATTTTGGTTTTACTAAAATTCGTTTGTACAAAAAATGTTATATAATTTATTAAATCTATAAAATACTCTTCAGTGTTTCTTTTACTCCAAAGCTGAGAAAGCTACCAGTTGCCCACAAAGTTGATAAATATGCTACTGGCTGTAATGCTTATTTTCCTTTTAATTAACCTAGAGTGTATTTTGATATATGATATTTAATTTAAATTTAGTTACAGAATTAGAAATTTGCACTTATCTAGAGAAGACCTTTCTCATACTGCTAACTGATGTGAAATGAGATAGGTTTCTTTATCATGTAGATAGTCAGGGGCAGGTGGGAATAAGATAAATCCAATAATGTGGAACTACAATAAATGCAATGAATACTGTGAATTTAACTGTACAATTTACCACAGAAAACCAGAAGACATGAATAACATCACCTAAAGGAGACAAAATGGCTCCCAGGCCTGCATAACTTGACTGTAACCTAATTCAAAGTGTTAACGTATCTATTTTGAAGGATGAGTGAGTCATTCAGAAGAGACACCACTGGAGCATTCAGTGGGGAGAAAAGGTTAAACTTGGTAAGGCCCATTCAAGCACACTGTAGGAGAGTTGTCTGGTTCCAGGGTCCAGTATATTCCTGCTATAGAGAGGAGTCTAGTATAGAAAAGGCTGCCTGAGGCTATATTTGCCTGATGTTATTAAATATTTGAATCCCAATTAATAATACCTGTTGTTAATATATGCATTCTGTCACTATAAGTTAGTTACATTTTCTAGAATTTTTAATAAGTGGAATCAAATAGTATGTATTCTTTTTTGTCTGGCTTCCTGCCTGTAGCATAACTGTTCTGAGATTCATCTACTTTGTTACAAGTACTGCCGAGTAGTATTCTATTATACAGATACATCAATTTGGTATTCATTTTCCTGTTGATAACCACTTTAGAGAAGTCTGGCAGTTTCTTAAAAAGCCAAACACCCACGCACCATATGATGCAACTATTCCACTCCTAGGTATTTACTCAAGAGAAAAGAAACTGTATGTCCGTATAGATTTGTAAATGAAAATTCATAGTATCTTGATCTGTATTAGCCAAAAACTGGAAACAACCTCTTTCCACTCATACGTGAATGGATAAATGAATTGTGGTATGCATATCTATAAAATGACACATTACTCAGCAATAAAAAGGAGTAAATTATAGATACATGCAACAACATGGACGAGTCTCTAAAATAACTGAGTAAAAGATAACAAAAAATGAGTCCTTATTTCCTGTCTTCTACCATTTTTTTCCCCCTCATTTCATTATTTTCCTTCTCTCGTTTAAAAAGGAAACACTCTGTCTTCTTTTGGAATAAGTCTTTACCTCCAGTTCACCCAGCATAAGGACCTTAGAATACCGAAATTCCAATCAACCCCTATTGGCTTACAGCCACTGTAGGCTAGTACAGTATTGTAGTTCCACCTTGTTCGTTAGCCACAAATTAGACATTATTATTATTATTACTGTTTCCTTCCACCAATACTGGTTCAGATTAATTCAGGTTTCCTTTACTCCCTATTTCTTCTTTCATTTCAAACCTTTCTCTTAGGATCCTTTTCCTCCTTCTTGCAGTATACCATTTAGAATGGTATTTTTTGAGGTGTGGGTTGTGACCTACTGGTCTCTCTGAGCTTGGCATTCTACAGCTTGACAATAGTGAGATGTGTATTTCTTTTTATTCACCCTGCTTGGGATTCACTGGGCTCCTTAAATCTGAGGATTTGTGTCTTTCATCAATTCTGGCAAATTTTTAATGGCAACTAAAAATATTGCCTCATTCCTATCCCATGTTTTCTTTCTGGAAGTCTGATTAGATCATATATCTTTTTTCTCTGTGTATGGCCTTCTATGTGGTTTCTTTCTACTTTTAACTGTGCCTTCCACGCTGGTTTATCACACCATTTAATTTTTAAGTTCTATTATTATATTTTTCATTTCTGATATTCTAATTGGTTCTTATTTTAATGTGCCTGGTCACTTTTATAGTCTATTATTCTTTATTTATGTTTTAGAATTCCTCTTTTATTTATTAACCATATTAAACATTTATTTTACATATTAGACATTTCTAATAGCTGAAATCTCTGTAGATCTGTTTTAGCTGTTTATGTTTTCTGCTGATTTTTCTTCAGAGTGTTTTGACTTTTTCCCCCTTGTTATGTTTTGTGATTTATTTAATGTTGTTTTTATTTGTTAGAATTTTAACTATGATTATTTGATAACTGGGTTGATAACTCCCTCCAGGGAGATTTGTGATTGTTTCTGCCAGGTACCAAAGAGTGTTACAGACCCAAATTCACTTCAAATTAAAACTCTCCAATTCTGGAGTTTTAGGAACAATGAAAATGGTGTAAATTAAGGCCTCAAATCCAAGTGAATGTGAGCTGGTAACCAGGAGTTATTAGGGGAGATTTTAACTATCTAGAGCTATACATCTCTCCAAGATGGTCTCTGATCAGGCCCCCTACACTTTGCAGAACCCAAGGAATTTTCCCCCGTCCCCATCCCTCTCCATGCACAAGTTTCTATGCCAAGAGAAACCCATGGATGTCCCCAAAGTATTCAGTGACTTCAGGGCTTGCTTACCTCACAGAATGTACTTGTTTGTTTCTAGCCCCAGAAAGTTTCCCTTATTTTCTTATAGGTTCATCCATTCATTTTAAAGGCTTTTTAAAAAAATACTGAATCTAGTATTTTATATATTTGGTGGATTTCTTGTCTATCATATTGCCAGAAATGAAGTCTATTTAACACTTCTGCAATTGTTTTGTAAAACTTAAATCAGGATATTCTATTTATTCCTGATAAATTTTATTTTAGTGTGATTCTATAGTCTACAAAGTCTGTCAAGAGCACTTACAATGCTGATTGACTTATTTTATTGGCTTACCTCAGAAGTTGTGTATCATCTGCAAATGCAACTTCCTCAGCCTTCACCAAAGTCACTGATCAACACAGCTTCTGACAAAAAGAAAACCTTAAAAATTAATTTTGAAAATCTTTATAGCAAAACCAGCATATTTTTTCTTGTTATCAGGTATATAAAATTATAAATTAAAAGCATCAAAATCATATCCAGATAAATCAAATTAAAATAGGAAAACATCCCCCTACCCCAATTACTTCAAGTGGTAGACCTTTTAAAAAAATCTCAATCAGCACTCATCTTCCACAGGAGGAAACACAACTTATTTAAACAAGTATCTCAAAGGCCACTGTTTACAAAAAGGCTGTGGAAATCTTAGAAGAGCTTTCAAGTGTCACAAAGGAAATTTTAAAGTGTTTTTTGCTTTTAACAGCATCATGAAAACCCATGCCTACCAGATTTTTTTCTTTTCTGCTTTGCCGTAATTTTAGTTGGCATCTTTTATTAATTTCAGTCATCAATGGCAACTTTTGTAAAATTTTAACCTCCAACGTCAATATAAGGATATGTGTGTGTGTTTACATTTTCCCAGCAGAAACAAGAGAAAACTTACACTTCTCTCCTCCAGTACGTTGCTCTTGCATGAAGAACATATAAACCACCGACTTTGGGTCTGCATCTTTACTTATTTTCTGAGCAGCAACTACAGGTTTAAATAGAACATTTAGCTCCTGATGTTGTTTCTTCTGAATATTTGATGTATATCCTGCAATAATGTAGTAGAAAAAGCACAGGCTTTGGAATCACATGGATCTGAGTTTAAATCACAACCTTTCTGAGGCTCTCAGGAAAATTACATCATGAGTCTCAATGGATAGCTTCAAGAGTCCAACGACATAGCAGGCATACATACATAAAGAGAGACAGTGCCTAGCACAGTGCTTGCCATATAATATGTTTTCTATCATACCAGCTGTCCTTCTCTGTAATTTTGTACATTTCCACTTTGCTCAATCTGTCAAAGGGCTTTCCAGACTAAATTTTCTTAAATCATAGTCTTGATAAACTTTCATTGTTTTGTTCAACAATTATCAACATTTTGTAACACCTATTATACTCAACAATATATATAAAATACTTTTAATATAGCAATATGACAACAATACTACTACTGAATATACCCTACTAACAAGGTACAGTCCAAAATCTATGTTCTAAAGTCACTAGAAATTGTTCCTTTTTTGTGTGGTTATGTCACCAAAATGCTATATAGTTATGTAAATTTGATTCAGTTCCTTTTCAGGTTTTCCTCTTCTTTCTATCTTTCTATTTAATTGTATTTTTGAATATGTAAACATACATGATTCCAAGACAAAATTACATAAGCAAGTTATATTTAGAGAAATCTCTCTTCCATTGTTGGCACCTTTCCCATTCCCTGCTTCTACATATAGATTACTCTATAGACTGTTATCTGCCTTGTTTTTTCCACTTCATAATATATTCTACAGATCATCCTATACTGGTACATGGAGACTTTCTACATTCTCTTTATGAATTCTGGGGAAAAGAGTGACATGGAAGGGACATCATCTACCTGGCGATTGTTGAACGTACTTTAATCAGTTCCCTAGTAATGGGCATTTTGGTGTTTCCAATCTTTTGCTAATACAAGTAATGCTGTATTACTTATACAAATATCAGTTTATATTTTATGCCATTGTGTCTTTAAAACAGATTCCTAGAAGTTACATGCCTGGGTCAAAGGACAAATGTGTTTGTAATTTTGCTGGATATTGCCAAATTCCCTCCTGGGCTTCATGCTTTTGCATCCCTACCAGCAATGCATCAAAGTGCCTGTTTCCCCACAGTCTACTTTGTGTTTTGTATAACTTTGGATTTTGGTGAGAAAGGTTTTAGTGTAGCTGTAATTTTTAGTGTAGCTTTCATTTGTATTTCTCTTTGTATGACTGAAGTTAAACATCTGTTATATGTTTGCCATCTGCGCTTCTTTTTCTGTGAACTCTGTTTCCATATCTTTGGCCCATTTTTCTACTCAATTGATGGTTATCTGCTTTGATTTTTAGGTTTTATTTTCATTACAGAGATTAGCTCTTTGTGATATAAGTTCAAATATTTCTTCTCACTTTGTCACCTGTCTTTTGACTTGGCTCATGACATTTTTCACCATGTAAATTTTTTTTTTAATATAGTGGAATTCATCATGGTGTTAATTTCATAGACTTTAAATCTGTTCCGTGGCTCTTTTGCTTTGTATGTTGCTGTTAAGAGATTTGTTGCTAACCTCTTCTTTCTGCCTGGAAGCCTAGAGGAATTTTTCATTATCTTGAAAAGTCCAATAGCTTTACCAGGACATGACTTAGAGATGACCATTCTGGATCAATTTTCCCAGTATACAACGAGGCTTTTCAATAGTAGATTTAACTCTTCTGCTGCTTCCAGAATGTTTTCACGGACTGAAGTTTAAATATGAGCTCTGCTATTATTCTTTCTTCTTAGGAATTCTAATTTTACATATTGTCTCTATTAATCACTTTCTCTTTTTACTTCTTCATTTCATTTTCATTCTTTGGCTGCCTTCATGTCTTTCCTCAATGCCCCTTATATTTAGTTTACTCCCCTTTAGGTACCTTGGACTTTAAGCTTCATTTTTAAAGATGATTTTTCTTTTTCTTCATTTTATTTCCTGAGTTCAGTAAATTCACTTTTCATATCTTCCTCTTTTTGTCCATTTCTTTTGGGGTTCTGAATTTATATTTGAGATTTTATCTCTGCCAATGCTTGTTTAAGGATATTTAATTCAGGTAGGAGTATTGTGCTGTAGTTTTCTTTAGCTCTGTAGCTGAATGTTTCGGGGAAGACTTCATCACTTGAAACATTTTTACTCTCATTTTACGTTTTCTACTTCTAGTAACTTTATATGGATGTTGTCTGCCATTTTCTGCTCCTATTGAAGTGTTTTAATTTTTGTAAACCAGACAACAATATTACATAGAATAGAGTGAGGGATTTGGAAGAATTACTGGATTTTTTAGTTCAATAGCACCTTTCATTGGCTTAATAGTTTTTTTCCAACCAATATCTCCTTTTTGGGTGGGAGAGGGGTCGATCTATCTTCCATTCTATTTCACCAGGATTCTTAATTTCTACTACCTCTTCTTTCTCTTTCCCACCAAGCCTCCAGGTAAACGGTGCCCCTGCCAAGTTATCTTCTTTTCACAGAAGCAGTACTTTCAGAGACTGCCTCTTTGGTCCCATGCACTTTCAAGTCCCTTCCTTCTGCCTAACAGTCTCAAACCCATTAATATTTCCCTCCTTAGGGTGGGGCTTTCTCTTTCTGAAGTTATTTTATCTGTAATCTACCGAGCTACATCCTGCTTTCCTCTCCTCTGTCTTGAATGAACAGTCTCAACCTCATTTTCCACTTTAGCATAGGTTCCAGAACTGGCTCAGCATTTCAGTGTTTATTTCCCTACATATCCATAATTTTAAATTATCTTAGACAAGGGTGGTGGTGGCTTAATTTGCTCTCCTTATAGACTTGTATAATTTTTTTAAAGGATGTATGGAGCGATTTGGACCTATGCCATCATCCTATGGAAAGCTGGAGTCAGGTTTTATTTTTTAACTATTTTTTAATTTTTAAATTATTTTCTAGTTTCATTGCATGTGGTCAGAATTTTGACTTTTTATTTTTTGGAACTGAGGTTTTCTTCGTAGTCTAATATATAATAGATTTTTATAACTATCCCATGTATACTTGAAAAGATGTATTCTCTCTTAGCAGATTCAGGCTTTGATAGAAATCTATAAGATCTGCCTTACTGATTATGCATTATGACTAAATTTTTTTGTCCAGTTAATCTGACTTATTTTGAGAGAGGTGTGTTAAAGTCCCCTACTATTAGCAGGTTTCTATTTTTCCTTAAATCTCTTGTAGTTTTTAGTTTATGAAAGCTGTTGCTGCATCACTTAGTAAACAGACATTTGAAAAAAATCTTCATTGTGAATGTAGCCCTTAGCTTATGAAATACCCTACCATCTTAATGCTTTTTGAACTAAATTCTGCCTTGCCTGATACCAAGATGATGATCTTGCTTTTTTTAAAATTTGCATTTAGGGCTGGCCCCATAACCAAGTGGTTAAGTTTGTGTGCTCTGCTTTGGGTGGCCAGGGTTTCGCAGGTTCAGATCCTGGGCGTGGACCTAGCACAGCTCATCAAGCCATGCTGAGGGAGTGTCCCACATGGCAGAGCCAGAAAAACCTACAACTAGAATATACAACTATGTACTGGGGAGCCTTGGGGAGAAGAAGAAGAAGAAGAAGAAGAAAAAAAAAAAAAAAAGACTGGCAACAGATGCTAGCTCAGGGCCAATCTTAAAAAAAAGAAGAAATCTATTAAAATAAATAAATTAATTAAATAAAATTTGCATTTATCTGATTTATCTTTGACCTTCCCTTTGTTTTTAAATTATTCATTTATTATTAATTCTCTTTATTATTCATACTTTTTACAACTATAACTTTTGTATACAGCAATCATTAAGTATGTTGAGCCCACATACATTTTAGTAATACATCTGGTATTTTTGCTATTGTGATAATGTTTTATGTTCTATTGTGTGTGTGTGTGTACACACGAATACATATAGAAAAATGTGTACATATCACGATATGATCTGTTTCCTTTGCTTTCTTTAGGTGAGGTATTTGTTTCAGTATGTAGAAAGTTTTTGTGTATCTTGTTCTTGGGATTAACTCTATCGTAATATCTTTATTTAATACTCTCTATTCCCCTCCCCTCTTTTTAAGCTACTATTACTTTCCTGATATTAGCAGTAACAAAATTAGTAACTTCCTCTTCCTTTCCTTTTCCCTCACCATCTAGTTTTGATCACTGGTATCATTTTCACTGGTGTTTTATCCTACACGTGTAAGGATGTATACTTACTTATAGTAATGTTTGGCTTCCATCAGTTAGCTTCAAGTGCTCTCATTTTCCTCACAGCTAACTCCTAAGAGGCAAACAACACCTTATTCCACTTTTCATTTACTCTCCTTCCCCTCCCATCTTTTTGTGGGTTGTATTATTTCTACATTGTCAGACTATATAACATTTACATCCCATTCTATCACCATTAATCCCATCTTTTAATCTCAGTGCTACATAAAATATATTCAATGCTCACCAGCTGACCTTATGGTGAAGATTCTCCAATCATTTCTTGGTTGTCTGAAATTGGTTGTCTAGTATATTCTCCAAGAAGGATTCAGAGGAACAATATTCTTTGTTTCATGTTTATAAATGTTTGCTGATGTCCGGAATTCTTGAAGGAGTTTGGTGAGATATGAAATATTTATTTCCTTGAATATTTAAAAAATGTTCTCTTGTTAGTATCTGGCATAAACTGCTGCTGCCCAAAATTCTACTCCAATCTGATTTTCTTTCCAGGTTGACTTGGTCTTTTTTCCCATGGATACAAAAGCTTTTTTTTTCTTTATTTTCAAAATCCAACAATTCTACAAGAATATATCTCAGTGTTAACTGCTCTGGGTTGAGTTTCCCAGATTCACAGTATGCCTTTCAACATACATAGATTTAAACCTTAATGTTAAGTGTTCTTGAATTATAGTTCTAATAGCTGTTCTGTTTTATTGCTTTGGTTTACATTTTTGTATTGCGGTAAAATTAACAACACAAAATTTGCCATTTTAACCATTTTCAAGTATATAATCCAGTGGCAT